GACCTGGGATGACCGGACAGTGGGGGCGCGGCATGGGCATCTGTCCCTGTGCTCACTGCTCTGCTCTAAGGCAGGCCGCCCAGGCCTAGCGTGACCTCTCTCTCCGCTCCATCCTCCGCGGGGCCAGAGGGGATTGGTCAGGCAGGCCCCTCCACCTCTCACCCTGGCGCTGCCTTTATATGGAGACTTGGCTGCGGCTCCCCCTCGGCCTCCCGCCTGGCAGGAGCGAGCCCTGTGGCTGTCTTCCCAGGCCCTCTCTCTGCAGGCGCGTTCCCAGTGGGTGCTGAAAGCATTTGGCCGCGCCTGCCCCTTTTTTTTTTCAAGCCCTGGCCTTGGTCTGCACCCTGACCGGGCGGCGGGCAGCACAAGCCCTCTGCTTGTTCATTCCCTCCAGCTCCTGCCGCTTTGCCCTTGCGGAACTGGCTCCTCCACAGCCCAGCACGGAACCCAAGTGCCTGGCTCACAGAATAGGGCACAGCGGGAGGCCAGCATTGCCTTGGCGCTCAGAAGCAGGCAGCGCTGCGATTTTCAACCTTTCCCATCTTGTGGCACACAAAAACTAATTACTAAAATTCTAGGGCACACCAAAAAATATATATTTTGCTGACCTGACCAAAAATTTAAAAAACAGGTATAATTTGGAGTCATTCACACCAGACAGCTTTTGCCATTTTTTTTTTTTTATTTGAGAATCTAAGGGTAAAGAGGTCAGTGCCGCTGACTAGTCCGCTATTGCATGTTTTAAAAACTGGAGGCACTCCGGTGGAAGATCACGGACATGGGGCCGCTCAGTCAGCGAGTGCCAGATGGATGGAGGGATGCAGTATAATCTCTCCCGGTTTTTAAATGATTTTCGACGAGATTCTGGGTTTTGAGTCTCCAGCATCCCGGATCCTTCCACAGTATGTGGTTTGGCGCTGACGCAAACTGTTGGCCCGCTTTCCGTACCCTCGGGTTCGTTGGCATTTGTACAGTATGCGGTCTATCTTCTGAACTGGCCAAACTTACCTGGTCTCCTGGCCACCTGTAAGCTCCGTTCATGCCGGGGTTGGAATGAGGGTGGGAGGTTGGGTACATGTTATAAATTGCAAGCCCTGACTCAGCTCTCAGATCCAGACAGCACAGGAACTGTCTAACCACGTTTCAAACAGAGCATGTTGGTGAACTCCGTTTTCTGGTTAAGCACATTGACAGCCCCTGCAATTTAAATCCGTTTTTAAAAAAACTTCCTGAGAGGGTGTCCTTGACTTAGAAGCACTCCTCTACTAAGTGAAGTAGAACATCGTTTACTAGTCTTCTCCCTGTGACCGCGGTGGTCCCTTCCCCAGGCCACCACGATGCACACCAGCTATGTTGAGGTGGTAGGAAGGGTGTGGGAGTCGGGGAGGAAGGCATTCCCTGTGGCTGGCTGTGGGTGGGGAGCCGTGTGAGGTCAAGCAGATGTGGTCCCATGGGGCCAGGTGGTGCCTGAGATACCGACTTTGACACTTGATAGGCAGTGGACGTTTTGAGCAAGGAGATGGAGTAGGAACTGTTGTTCTTCAAGAAGTGGTGTTGTCCTAGCCGGTTTGGCTCAGTGGATAGAGCGTCGGCCTGCGGACTGAAGGGTCCCGGGTTCGATTCCAGTCAAAGGCATGTATGTTGGTTGCGGGCACATCCTCAGTAGAGGGTATGCAGGAGGCAGCTGATCGACGTTTCTCTCTCATCAATGTTTCTAACTCTCTATCCCTCTTCCTTCTGCTCTGTAAATAAAATATATATATATATTTTAAAAGTGGTGTTAAACGTTGATCTCACAGGGAGGAGCTCATCAAGGGTCTCAGACCAGAGTCTCCCAACAGGCTAACCGGAGTGAGCCTGGGAAGGAGGGTGCTGGGGGAGATGTTGAGGTGATGGGCAGAGGGAACCTGGTGACTGGTTGTGGAGGGGAGTGAGACTGGGAGGAATCAAAGATGTCCCTTGGGCTGCATCTGGCAGATGAGGAAGATGAGGGTCATTGGGAATGAGGAGATAGGCTGGCATCTACTCAAGTCCTGCCTCTTCTCTTCAGCTGTGTTGCACGTTGGGCTCAGAGGGCCTCTGGATCCGTTGCCAGATCTCTGAGTGGAGGGGCGTCTCCTCCTGTGACCTGAGGCCAGCCTCTCTCCTGTGGAAAGGAACGCTCAGCGCCCACTGCTGCTGCTGCTGGGAACCGCCATGGGCCGCTGTGCTCGGCAGCGTCTGCTCCTCGTTCTGTTCCAGTGAAAGCAGCTTTATCTGCGGCCCCGTGGGGCTCGTTCAGGTTGCGTAACATGCTTACTCATTAGGGCACAGCACATGTGAAACCGAAGAGACCATCCCACAGGCGGTCACCGGGAAGCACGGCTGAGGTCAGGCTTCCCACAGTGGGCGTACCTGTCTGAGCTCTGGTTGGCCACAGCTGTTGCTAGGCCGATGCCCTTTTAAGCAAAATTAGAAAGTCATCATGAACTGGTTATACCAGACTGCCTTCTTTAAAAAAAAATAAAAAAAAATCGCTCCTATTTCATCTTCGTTTTGCTGCTTCACAGCTGCGATAGGAATAAGCAACTTTGGGTTAAATTTAGTAGAAATGCCATACCGACCACTGTCAATGTATATGTAGTTCTAAGACACTGTCTAAGAAGGAAGGAGAGAATCTGTCCCTCAGAAGAGAATTGCATATTGGAGGAGTTTCCTGCTGTGGAACCGTAGTCTCTGCAAATCAGCGATTTTGGGCCTTTGTCCAATTTTTCAAATCCTTCGAGGACTCTGAGTGGCGTGATGTTTTGTGGACTGGAGATGGACTGTGCGGTGGGACAGTCAGCTAGCTCTCCCCCGCGCCCTCCCGGTGCAGCGCTGTGCCCGGAGCGGAGGCCTCCGTGGGGAGCAGGGCCCGCGGCGCCCTCCTGCTCGGCCTCCGCTCTGCAGGATTCCAGATGAGTCAAGACAAGTGCCAGCCTCCTGGAGACGCTTCTATTTCAGCCTATCCCGTGCTCCCTCGCTTTGGAGACTGTTTTGAGAAGGGGGAGGAGGGGAGGAGGCCTCAGCCAGCCCTGGGAAAGAGGACAGACAGCGAGCACAGCCATTGCTGGAAGCCTGCGGAGGCAGACTGCGCAATCTGCAGGCCCCTTCCATGGCTCTCGTGTGCCATCCTGCAGTTGGCATCGCGGCTGCCAGGAGCCACCCCCTCCTTCTCCTTTCTAAAGGCAGGGAGAGATGTCTCCTGGCAGAATGAACCCTTCCTGCCTTATAGCCTCGTTTCTCCTTCCTGCATCTCCAGGCCACGCTGGGACCTCGAAGCTGTTAGGAGGAAAGGATCTTGGACGTGAGAGGGGCCCGAGGGAACTGTGAAAAGAAAAGCAGCCTTGACTCTTCCTGGATTAACCATGCGTGGGGTCGGTAAAGCTCTTTTGTATTTTAAAGAAAGATGATCAGCTAAGGAAACCTGCTTTTACCTGCAGCTCAGACCTCCTCTGCCTTTTGGCCCTTTTCTGTAAGGCTGCTGGTAACTACTAATCTGATCCACAAAGGTTTATTGGAATCCCTCCCGGTGACATAGTTGCATTTTAAAAGGAGCTCGTTCCCTCGATGCACTGAGAGAAGGCAAGTCCAAGGAGGAGATTACTAAACGGCAAGCACGTGGGAAGTAGGCCATGGCTGTAGAAAGGACTCCGGGGCTGGGTGATCCTGGGTTCACATCCTGACTCCACCCTCGCTGGCTGCCTGGCCCGGCACTTCTCCCAGCTGGCTCCCAGTCTGACAAAGAGCTCAGCGCCCGCACAATACCACCAGTGCCCAAGCCGGTTGTAACCAGTCCTCAGTTCTCCTGTCAAATCCTCCCCTCCCTGGACCTCCTTCACCGCCGTGTGCAAGGTCGACCACACTCAAAGGCCTGTTGTCGAATCACGAACGTTAACTGTTGCTATATCTGGTTTAGTTGTACAATGTTCTCTTCTTGGGATCTTTAGGAACATTCTTTAATTTATTGTGGAATGCATCACGTACACAGAAAAGTTCATGAAACACAGAAGTGTGCCCGTTAGCCAACAGTTATAAAGGTGTCCCCCACATAACCACTACCCAGGTCGAGAAAGACAAATACAGCCCTGCTCTAACGCGGTCTGGAGAGATAAGGCCGTGGTGTCCCCAGGGGTCATTTCTGGCTGTGGCATCTGGGGAGGTGCTGCTGGTACCTGACCTCGGAGGTCAGGAATGCGAACACAAGGCAGCTGGCCCCCAGCGCAGAACTGTCCAGCCCAAAGGTCAGTAATGCCCCGTGACACCCCGCGGTAACACACTCTGACCCAACATGATTGCCTGATGTTTAGAAACCCAGCACTTCCACAGGTGAACGAACTTTCAGGAAAAGATTCGGATCCTCCAGAACCGTGGTCGGCAAACTGCGGCTCAAGGGCCACATGAGGCTCTTCGGATCCTCCAGAACCGTGGTCGGCAAACTGCGGCTCAAGGGCCACATGTGGCTCTTCCACAAAAATACCACGGCCTGGGCGAGTCTATTTTGAAGAAGTGGCGTTAGAAGAAGTTTACGTTGAAAAAGTTTGGCTCTCAAAAGAAATGTCAATCGTTGTCCTGTTGATATTTGGCTCTGTTGACTAATGAGTTTGCCGACAAGAGCAAGCTTAGATTTACGTAATGCATTGTTCCTAGTATTGATATGCCAGTCCACTAGTTGGTCTGGTAGGCGGGGGTAGGGTGGTTAGTGGGGGAGGCGAGCCAGCATTTCCGATGAAGGATCTGGAGTTACTAGACTTTCTAATAGCACTGCCAGTTTGTCTCCTCTCCACGCTGCCCAACGCGTTGATCACCCCCGTCAATTTGCACCAATCTTGGGAATCAACTCATGTACACGTTCATCAAAGCCAGACGTGTTCCCTTTTACTAGTCATTAAATCGTGAGTCAATGACATGCTGCACTCTTTCCAACAATTTGTCCCAGCCGCCGTGCGCTTGAAACGCTTGTGTCTGTCCATTTATTGCAGGACTTGGTCGTTCGTATTGTTTTCATTCTTGGCAACCTGACAGCGAAAAGCAACCAGGCTCGTGAGCAGCTTTTCAAAGAGAAAGAGAGCATCCCGACCCTGCTGTCCCTGTTCCGGGCCTTCCACGAGCTGGACCTGCATCCCAAGAGGCCAGCCGGCGACGGAGATGAGCAGCGGAAGCCACGGAAGCCACAGGCCCTGGTGGAGGACGTGCTCATCAAGCTGACCCGCGTGCTCGCCAACTTGGCCATCCACCCGGGCATCGGGCCGGCCCTGGCCGCCGACCCGCAGGTGGTGGGCCTGCTCCTCGCCACTCTGGGTAAGAGCCCGGGACAGCTCTGTGCGCTGGGCGTGAGGAGGGTCTTATTCCTACAACCAGCTCGCTTCAGTGAGACTTCTCAGCCCTGTGAAAGAAAAGCCCTCTTCTGTTCAGAAATATCTCAAAGATAATCCAGATTTTTTTAAATGAAAAAAAAAATAGTAATATGTATTACTGCTAAAACCCACCTTACGAGGGTGAATTTTATGGCTTGTGAATTACATTGCAGTATTTAAAAAATATTCCAATCAAGTTACTGAAAACTGGCCAAAATAACCACACAGGGTTTAAAATCCCTCATTTTCCCACGGGTAGCCCACAGGACGAAAGCTTACTTTGCTTTTTGTTTCTCAGGTTGTCAGGTTATTTGTAATTGCAGCCCCAGGTTATTCAGATCCTATCTTGCCCCTGTGTGAGTCAGCTCATGCTGCCCTGACAAAACACTGCAGACCGGCGGCTCGCACACCAGAAGCGTGTTTCTCGGAGTTCTGCAGGCAGGAAGCCCAGCACCCGGTGCTGGCTGGCTGGCTCCTGCGGGAGCTCTCTCCTCGGCTTGCAGATGACTGTTCACGTGGCCTTTCCTCGAGGTGTGCACGTGGAGGGCGAGAGAATGCTCTCTTCCTCTCATAACTCCACCATCCTTCGGAGAAGGACTACCCTATGACCTCATTTAACTCTTAAAACCCCTGTTTTCAAATACAATCCCATTGGAGGTTAGGACTTCCATATATTAATATATGAATCTGGGGAAGTGGACACAATTCAGCCAATAATATTCAGCCCCTGGCACCCCCAAATTTATATCCTTTTCACATGAAAAATGCATTCATTCCTTCTCAGCAGCCCCAAATGTCTTAGCTCACTCCAGCATCAACACACACACACACATCCCTTATTCCCTGAGGAAATTTGGTTTCATACAAGAGGTAAAAGGCATGTCCTAACCAAGCACGGCCCCAAGGTGTGTGCTGGTGTGGAGGTAGCTCGGGCCAGGCGGGGGCAGGGGTGGAGGGAATATGCGGGGTCGGAGGTGAGAGGCAGAGACTCGCTCACGTTGCTGTACTGATCGTTGGCTCAGTGTGACCAGTGTGACTTCCTCTGACTGCCAGCTTACCCCTCACCAGATGTGGGTACTTCAAAGGCAACTTAAGATATCTGAAGCTGAACTCGTGACCTCTCCCCAAATGGACCCTCTTCCGAATTCTGTTCATCCAGTTATGCAATTCAGAAACCCAGGGATCATACTGGGGAGTCCTCTCCCTCACCCTTACCCCCCAATCTGGCCTTCACCACATACTCTCCATTTTCCTCCCTGAATAGTTTTCAGTCTGTCCACTGTGCTCTATCTCCACCACCACTCACGCCTCAGCTCCATGATTGGGCATCTGAGCCACAGGAGGCTCCTTCCTCATTGGCGTTTCTGCCTCTGTCCTTCTCTGCTCTGTGGCCAGATAAGTCTGCAGGTTGAGTGGAAGGCAGGGGCAAAATTACTGAAGCTCTGTATGCTAAGCGAAAAGGTTCATTCATTCATTCACTGGTTCATTCATTTAATCATTCATTCATTCACTTATTCTTGCATTCAGCAATTAGTTATTGAGCACTCCCTATATGGCAAAGGCTGCTTAAGGTGCTGGGAATGTACCAATGAATAAGATAGACGAATCACTCGTCCTTGTGGAACTTACATTTTAGGGCTAGAAGACATATGTTAAACATAAAAGTCAAGTGGCCACTTGTTCTATGGAAAACACGGACGTTGGGTCAGGAGCAGAGAGAATAACGGATGCCATTTTATATGTGGTGCTTGAGGAAACGATGTCCAATAAGGTGACAGCTGAGCAACAACCCAAAGCCTGTGAGGAGTGGGCTAAGTGGATAACTGGGAAAAGAATATATTCCAGACAGAGGAAATAGCAGTGCCAGCATGTGCAGGAAGGCTCGTGCCCCCATGTTCAAAAAGAGTACACAGACCAGAGCTGTCTGTCAGTCTGGGGCTGGGGTTGAAGGGGGGGGATGGGGGTGGGAGGCCAGAGAGGTCAGGACTGGGGCAGCCCAGAGAGGGCCTGGGGGCCAAGTGAAACCAATGATGTTATCTGACTAACTTTTAAAGGATAACCATGCTGAGGATAGACTCAGGGAGGCAAAGGTGGGTGAAGAGAAGCCAATTAGGGGTGAGAGATGAGCTATATAGATCGGTGGCTGGCAAACTCATTAGTCCAACAGAGTGGCAAACCTCGGCTCACGAGCTGCAGTTTGCCGACCACTGGGCTAGATTGTAACAGAGCAAGTGAGAAGTGGCCAGAGTCTGAGTGTTTAGGGTCAGGGTGAACCAGGGGGGCTTAGAGATGGCGGGGCTCCCTGGGACGTTGGCATCTTTGCTTTACTATAGACACGGGGCCTAGACTTTTCCAGACCCCGGGTTGGAGGGATGGGACTCAGTGTTCTAAACCCTGGGCAGGAGGCGTCCCCTGCATGGGGAGTGTTTCCCCCAGGAAGGGCCATGGAAATAAGGCAGCAAACAGCCAGGGCGAGCGGTGCCCCTGCACAGACCTTGCCCAGGACAAGGGCGCGACCCTGCTGCCACTGGGATTGGGGTTGTGGCTGCCGTGAGGACAGCATTGTGACTGCCCCTGCCATGAGTCCGTGACACCCTTACTCTGTTTCAGAATACAAGTCAATCGATGACTGCAAGGAGCTGGTGATCAATACTACAGCAACAATCAACAACCTGTCTTACTACCGAGTGAAGCACTCTGTGATTCAAGACCAAAAGCTACATGTGGCCGAATGTAAGGTTCAGAGTTGGGTTTGGGTAGGGGCATGTTCGTGGAAGGTTTGGGTTTTATTAACTAAACACTGTACTAGAATCATTCATATTTTTTCATGTCCTGGCACAAATACCTAAGAGCCTGATATGATTCTGGGAAATTAGACTGCGCGGAAACGTGAGCGTCTTAATTCTTGCTGAAGGCCCCTGCAGCTTGTATTTTATTATCATTTTTAATTTTTTAAATGTATTTTATTGATTATTTTTTTACAGAGAGGAAGAGAGAGGGATAAAGAGAGAGGGATAAAGAAACATTGATGGGAGAGAAATATCAATCAGCTGCCCCTTGCACAATGCCTACTGGGGATGTGCCCGCAATCAATGTACTTGCCCTTGACCGGAATCGAATCTGGGATCTTTCAGTCCGCAGGCCGACGCTCTATCCACTGAACCAAACTGGTTTCAGCTTCATTTTTAATTTTTGAATCGTCAGTATCCGTATTTACTATGATGATTGAGCTACTGATCATTGGTTTCCAATCACCTTTACGTCAGAACTTAAACTCACTGGTTTTACTCTCTGGTCACCAAACCCAGTGCTTGTAAAGCTCCTGGTGAGTGACAACACGGACGGAGTCCTGGAGGCCGTGCATGTGTTTGGAAATCTCTCCCAGGACCGCGCCGTCTGCGACTTCATCGTGCGGAAGAACCGTGAGTTACTCATACTTGTGTTCCTTGCACTTCTTGCCAGTCAACAGCGGCGCCGTCTGAGCTTGGGCCACCGCCATGTGATGCTTGTTTTCGATTTGGGAGGAGCGAGTGCCTTACATTCTGTTCCCTACGTAGTAAGGCCCTCAGCTCAGGATGCCAAGATGGACTGGGCATGTTCTCCGTGATCCCTCTCCCTCGTGAGATTCTTCTGACATCTGAGACAGGGAAGAAGGGAGGGAGGGGAGAAGAGAAGGAGGGAGGGAGGAAATTATCTACATTCACTTAGGATATGTCTGTCCTTGGGAATAGTTACTCAGGAGACCCTCTCCTCCAGGTACTAGAATGCCCATTGCAGTACTGCTTGTAACAGTAAAAGATGGAAACAACTTAAATGTCCATCAGCAGGCAAGAGCATAAGCGCATTATGGTTTATTTATGCCATAACATGTCCCACAGCAACGAGTAAATGAACTAGAGGTTCATGGATCAACATGGACCAACCTCAAATACACAGGCTAGGAGCAAAAATGTGACTGATAGGGGGGATATATGCAGAATAATGCCATTAAGGCAATGTTAAAACATGCAGAACAATCTTGGGTCTTGTTTATGTGATGATGTAGTAATGGTGTAAGGTATTGTGGTATGTGGAACAGATAAACTCTGCATTTCAGGTAGACGTTATCATTGGAGGGGAAGGAATGCCCAGGTATAAAATGGGATAGTCCTTTTTCTTTTGAATGCGTTTGATCTCCATCTTCCTTTGCAAATCCAGACCTTTCTTAAATTGGGTGGCAGGTGCCCACGAGTTTATACTAGCCATCCTTTGTATGTTTCAAATAGCTCACCTGAGAATAATCACTAAAAATATGTTGATGTAAGAAATGTCCCCCCTGTAGAGAATTTTTATGAGCTGATTTGAGCCAAATTGACACCATACACTAGGGAGCAAAATCTCAAACGCTCCTGAGAATAACAGGTTTGTGGGCTCTCTTTTGCATTTGAAAGTAAGGAGGGGGTGTGAGGAGAAATAGGTGAGGGTGTGAGGAAGCCAGGCGGAGACAGGGCCACAGATGACATGCTTCCTTAAGGGCGTTACCCTCTGAGGGGTGTCACTTCCGGCATCTCAAAGGTGTGTGGGCCTCGATGCAGCAGGCTTAAAACCTTTAAGGAAAGAAGGTATAGGCCTGGGGTGTGGCTGCCCTCCCTGGCCTTCCCAATTAGGGATTTATAAGTTATTACAGCACCCCTTTTTCTTCCACAAAAACCCAGTTATCTGTGTTTGTGACAGATGATGTAGATAATAGAGACAGAGAGGAACAGCAGCACAGGCTGTGCACACCATCTCACTTCTGCAGAGGCAACCCCTCCCATCCTGGTGTGCAGTCCTTAGACTCTAGGGACACACGTGTGTGAGGCAGCCTTTGCCAAGCTCACCCCCTGGCCCGTCCATGGGGCCCAGGTCGGCACAGGGTGGCCAGCTCCCAGGTGAGCAGGAAAACGGGAGGAGGCACAGAACATACCTTCCCCTTCTCCCCAGCCCTTGGCCCAGGCCCTGCTGGGACAGGAAAACGAGACACAGGGTTCCACTTCCAGGCGTCAGGGAAATGGCTTCCTGGAGGTGGGGAGAGGTGCTCACTTGAGAGGTCCCTGACCAGGAAGTCCTGCCTGGCCACGCCCAGTTTCCAGGGCTCTGATTCAGACTCCGGTGGCCCCGGAGGACTGGGAGGGAGGTAGCATCAGGAGCCCTCTCCTGCATTTAGAGAAAAATGCTGCTGGAGATTCCAAAAGGCCCGTGAGCCTGGCCCGCGTGGCTCAGTGGTTGAGCTCGACCTATGAACCAGGAGGTCAGGGTTCAATGCCCGGTCAAGGGCACATGCCTGGGCGGTGGGCTCCATCTCCAGTGGAGGGCGTGCAGAGGGCATCCGACCAATGATTCTCTCTCATCATTGATGTTTCCATCTCTCTCTCCTTCTCCCTTCCTCTCTGAAATCAATGTATTAAAAAAAAAAAAAAAAGGCCGGGGAGATGTTAAAGATGAACGGCACCTGTGTGGCTGGCGTCCATGGCTTCCTCCTTTCCACAGGCAGGGACTCTACCACGGGCACAGCCACAGCCGTGAGAGGGAGCGCTCTCGGGGTCAGAGACAGCGGTGCCTGGGGACAGAGATGCTGGGGTGGGACAGGTCACTGCTGGGCAGTGGGTGAGGCCTCAGGAAGAAAGGGTTAAATCTCCCGGCAGGCTTTGCAGTTTTGCAAGCCACTCCCCTTTGCCCTTTGCCCTTTCCCCTCCAATAAGGGGGAACGAGCCACAGCTGAGCACCCCGCGCTTCCCTGGCTCACATTTGCTCTCTGCCCTCCCAGTGCACAAGTTCATGATCGCGCTGCTGGACGCCACGCACCAGGACATGTGCTTCTCGGCCTGCGGGGTCCTCCTGAACCTCACGGTGGACAGAGACAAGCACGCCATCCTCAGGGAAGGAGGCGGCGTTACCAAGTAAGTGTCAGGGCACAGAGTCCCGACTGAACTCTCTCGGATCCAGAGAGCACAGCTTTCCGGGGAGTTGAGGCCCCGCTGGTCATTGCCCCGGGGCAGCAGGGGCAGCAGGGTTCCGGCATTTGGAGGAGCTGTGTTGGGGCCGAAGAGGGGGCTTGGTTCCCACTGGACACGTACACTAATTCAGAAGCAGGTGACAGGGACTTTGTAGCCCTTTACATTTGGAGATAGGAACATATTTTAAACCGTCCCTGGAGTACGCGCATTGCCTATTACACATCGCGGAAGGGTAACGGTCGCCGTGCTAAAGCTGTGCCCGTGAAAGAGAGCCTGACCTAGTAACGTTTTCAATTTGCCTCTCGTGACCTCAGGTTGGTGGATTGTTTGAGAGACTTTGGCCCGACCGACTGGCAGCTGGCCTGCTTGGTTTGCAAAACGTTGTGGAACCTGAGCGACACTATGGCGAACGCCTCGTCCTGTTTCGGGGATGAAGACACCAGCACGCTCCTGGTCCTGCTGTCCTCGTTCCTAGGTAAGCCTCCTCCCGGCGAGTCTGTGAGTGTTCGCACAGTGAGATGGGTTTATCCCCCGGCCCCGTGTGGGCACAGATTGGTATGCGTTTAGGCGGTTAGATTTCTACAAGCTACAACAGCCTGTTAAAGGTGATGGTAATTTAGAAGTATCCGGAAGGGGCTGGATGTGATTTACAGCTGGGGCACAAAAACCTAATTCATTGGACCTGTCTTGCTTTCTTCTGTGGCTTCTCTCTCTCTCTCCCTCCCTCCTCCTTCCTCTCCTTCCCTCTCCCTCTCTCTCCCTCTCCCCCCCTCTCTGCTTTTCCTATAGATTGCATACATATAAGATGCTATTGTTTAAAGGCATATGCACATGGTTGTAATTGAGACAATATGGCTAAAAGCTGCTCTGCCTTAAGCCATGCTGCAAAGTGGCGCTCTGCACTCCCGCGGGCAACTGTGTTCCTCGTCACTGGTCTGCATCTGCTCAGGGCGAGGGAAACTCCCGGACATCACAGGGGGGCCTGTGCCGTGAGGTGGGAAATCACTGGTACAAACCAGAGGGAAGAGGAGAGCTTCTTCCCTTTTTAAAACGCCCATTTTTGGAAGAATTGGTCTCATGCTGGGCTGGGTCTAACCGCAGTGACCGGGGGGAGGGGGGGGGGACAGTAGATGATGTTTTCAAGACCCTTTTCCCCAAAGGGAGAAGGACCTGCCTCGCCAGCCAGGTGTGTGGGCTGCGGAAGGCGCCGTTTGCGTGTAAGCTGGGCTCCAGGTGGTGCCGTTTGATGCGAGAATCTCTCAGAACCTGTTGTTTTATCTCTGATGCGGGGCCTGGTCATGGCTGCCCGGCTGCAGGCTGTCACGGGGCCCACGGCAACATCTGAGGGCACCGCGGAGAGACCCGTGGGTTCTGAGCTTAAGTCCCCATGTCAGCGTTTACAGGAGAGGTTTTAGCCTCCCTCAGCTGAGGGGTCCCGGTGGCTGAGACGGGGACGATGGATGTCCGTTGTGCAGAGGTGCTGGAGTGAGAAACGAGGGGCAAGCCCCCGGAACGTGGTGGTGAAGGCGCTTTGAAAGTCCCGAGTGTTGTAACGATGCGGGTTAAAAGGAACTCGGCACTAGAAGGTGTGCTGCCTTCCAGATACATGCAATGGAGTGTGTGTGAGAGTAAGGATAGACCAGAGGGATTTAAGTCCCTGAGGTTTGCCGTCTGCCCTGTGGCCCAGAGCACCTTGCTCCTTGCTCCGTTCAGTTCTTGGGGCAGAGCAGTGGGAGCCGCTGGGAATGTATAATAAGAAAAACGCACTGATCCTGGCCCCATCCCCAGGAACTCTGATTCAGGAGCTCTGGGGTGAGGTCCAGGGCCTGTTTTTAACAAGTTTCACAGGTGAGTCTGCTCTGTGGCCAGGTTGAAAAGAACCTGTGCCTGGTTAATGCGTTAGAGGGAAGGGGGCACCTGGAAGCAGGAAGCCAGCAGGGTGTCAGAGAGCACCTGGGAGGGGCTGTAGAAGGATCCAGAGACCCCAGGGCCCCCTCCATGGCCGGCCCCATCACCTTCCCTGCAGGAGGCCCAGCCCGCTCGGTCCCTGCAGTGGCCGGAAAGGTGCTTTCTCCCCTGCCCTCACGGCTCCTGCTGATTCAGAGCTTTAGCCACCCTTACTGTCCTCAGCGAGTGTGATTGTGGTTCCCCTGTCGTGGGAGCGTCGCTCTGTCTGCCATCTGGGGAGAAGGTGTGATGGCATCACTCTCCAGTCACTCTCTAGGCTGCAGGGCTGCGTGCCTCAGGCAGCAGCTGCCTCCGCCGCAGGCTCTCTGTGGCTGCCTTTGGCACCTCAGCCCGGGGCAGTCAGCCATAACTAACGGGGATATGGGGATGAGGGGCCATGGGCACAAGGATGCTTAGACAGAGGTGTGGGCAAGCTTTTCGGCAGGGGCAGCACACCCAGCAGGCACCAAGGCAGGGGGCCTGCCACCCTCCACCCCCAGCCTCCCCTTAGACGGCCTCTGCCTGTGCTTGCAGGCCCTTCTCCGAGAGCTTGTCACTCCCCCGTCACATCGTCAGGAATGTGTACACATATAGCAGTTCACCTTGAGCTCTGTGACTTCTCCTGTGCTATTGTTTTGTATCTTTATCTTATTTCACACTCCAACTGGGCCAGGTTAGGGAAAGGATGTAGGTCCTCGGCAGATGCTTGTGGATTGGCTCAGTGAGTGGTGCCTGGTCTCCGTAGTGCTGTGTGCTTTCTAAAGCCTGTTCCTTCTCTCCTCAGACCCTCTCTCTGAGGCCACCAGGTCGGTGACAGGAGAGGGAAGGTGGTCTGAGAGGGTTAAGGGACTTGCTTAGGGTCGGAGTGTAGCAAAGCTGGGACTCTCCATCAGAAGATACACTCCCAGTCCTGTGCTCTTCTGCTGGTCCATGACATGTACCCCCTCGCCCTGCCGGGGAAGGGGCTGTGGCATGGCTAATGAAAGGAAACACGGCCCATTGGGCAGCCGAGGCTCCAGAACAGCCTCGGGACTTCTCACGGGCTCATGGTTGAGAGAAAGCCAGGAGCCCTGAGGCCAGGCTTTCTCTCCCAGTGTGGGGACCTCAGACCCCTTACTTCTGACAGGGTGGTAGCTGTATCTGGCCTGTGAGCTGGGTGGCAGCAAATGACATGCATAGAAGTCTAGAGTGTATTTCAATTTCAGTTCTTTTACACAGATAACTAAAAAACAGGCCAATTTGAAAACAGGATGAGCTATTAAATAACAAAGTCTTGTTGAAGTGTGAGCACTGTTTTTAGAAATAATGGCAAGGCAATTCATAAATAATGTGTTAGCCAACTTTTTCTTGATGGGTACTTGGGGGGAAAAGGATAAAGTGATGGTCCATCCACTACACGGTAGGGATGCCTGAATGTTGACAGTCTTTCTGGAAAGTGTGTAAAAAGAATGTTGTCTAAAACCTCTTGAGGTATTACAATCACTTCTTATAAACTCACCAATGGCCTGGTGCACAGAGGAGAGAGATAGAAACATCAATGCTGAGAGAAAATCATTGACTGGCTGCCTCCTGCACACCTCCTACTGGGAATCAAGCCCACAACCCCAGCATGTACCCTTGACCAGAATCCAAGCCGGGACCTTTCAGTCCACAAGCTGACACTATCCACCGAGCCAAACTGGCTAGGACAAGAGAATTCATTTTTGAATGAAAGTTTAGGGCTCAGAAAAACCTGGAAGAGAGTAAGCAGAAGAAAGACCTAGAACTCTGAAACTATGGAGTCTCACAGCCCCCCCCCCCCCCCCCCCCCGTGCAGGAGGAGCCCTGTGGGAAGGGCGGTGAAGGCATCACGCACTATCAGCACTCTCCTCCCGAGGCCTGGCTCCTTGGTGGGTGGGGACGGTCAGGTCTGCTCATGGGCGCCTGGCTGAAGTGCCAGCCCAGCCCTTCTCTCAATGCACAGCTGCCCACTGGGTGGAGAGGGGAGGAGAGGAGGCGATGCACACACTGGAATTCCAGAGCCCCTGCCCTTCCCAGAGTAAGCTTACCAGCCACAAGCTTACTCTGGGTGTGGGGGGAGAGGGGGGAGACACCAGAGTGCCAAAGTGCACAGAGCGTACAGAAAGGTTCAGTGCAGACAATCCGGTGTAAACAGCAACTAAGCCGTTTACAAAGGGATTTTAATTAGCCCCATGAGGGAAGTCTCCCAATTATGTAAGTAGCAATATTTGTTGTCATTTTAGGGCTTAGTGGTTATCACTTAAGAAGTCTGCCTCAGCCACAGGCCTGGCAAAGGGGCAGGCCGGTGTGTTTTCCTACCGTGCTTCACCTGGGGGGTGGGGGAGGGGAGGCCCAGGATAAACAAGGGACATCCTGGCGGCGGCCAGCCACAAGCCTTAGTGGCCATTTGTCGCCCTATGTGGACAGATATACTTAAGGTGCTTACAGAATTCAGGATGTCTTTGGATTAAGAAGCTAATTAAAATTGTGATTTTTTTTTTCTTTTTCCTTTTTTTTTTTTTTTAAATGCTTTTCTGCATTACCCATGGACTCACTTGGCATTCTCATTCTTGTTGGTATACTCACCTTCTCCCACTTGGCACTGTTATGGGTCAGAACATAGGGTTGTCTCTTTAAGGAAGTATGTCCAGGCTTCTCTGAAGACAGCACATTGATTTTTAGTAAAGTTTTAAGTGTCAAACACAACTGCTACTTTCCCAAAAGACTTCCTAACTCCTTTTATATCTGTCAACCACTGAAGTAGTTAACTTTTTTTAATGCACAGGTTGGGAAGTAATCTATTAATACTTTGTTCTGAGCAATTGTGACCTGACTTTTGGATGGGGACTTGTTTATCCACATAGGATATTAGTTGAAATAAAAGCTCAATGCAATTTAGACTTGTTTGAGAAGATTATTGTCCTTTTTTTAAATTAAGAGACTAAAATATACTTATTGTAAAATATTTGTGAAGAACAGAGGAGAGTAAAGAACTTCTCTAATAAGAAAGACTGTCAAAACAAAATCAGAAAAAGAAAAGAAAAAGCTTTTTAGCCTACAAATCCTAGCTGTGCTATGTTGGAATTAGGGAGGACCCAGGATGAGTTGCCATCAAAAATTAAACTTTATTCAATAGGATTATATTTTCAAATAATTGCTGTAATTTTAATTTTTCTGATACAGACGAAGAACTAGCACTGGATGGCAGTTTTGACCAAGACTTAAAAAACTATCACAAACTCCACTGGGAAACAGAATTCAAACCTGTGGCACAGCAGCTCCTAAACCGAATTCAGTCTCGTCACACATTCCTGGAACCCCTGCCCATTCCTTCTTCCTAACATGATGCAAATTAACACCGGAAACAGGAAGGCAGGTCGCCTTCATTCTTAAGAAGTGGTAATAAACATGAACATTTTTTTTTTCAATATTAACAAATATTGAAAAAGTTTCAGGTACTGATATTAGTGAGTAGTCGAAGTATTTAAAAATAAATAAGCATTTCTTCTTGTTAGGTATTATGGGAAAATGAATGTACATGTGCTTTCTCCTATGAGACATGTAAGATAAAAAATATATATATGCATGGGTTTTTTTTTTATCAGTAAATGATTTTTTCTCCTATTCTCTACTCAATCATTTAATTCTAATCTTAAAATCCAGATTTCACAGTTCTGGAATTTAAGTGCTTCTCACCCAGTAGTTAAAGGAACTTTATGATGAAGCCTATTCCATTTTTTTTTTTTTTACATTGAAAGAGTGGTGGTCAATACTCTCAGGAATACATGACTACATAGGCATCTAAATGAATTCTTATGTCATCCTATATAATAAAAGGCTAATATGCAAATCGGCTGAATGGCAGATCAGTTGCTATGATGCACACTGATCATTAGGGGGCAGATGCTAAATGTAGGAGCTGCCCCCTGGTGATCAGTGCACTTCCACAGGGGGAGTGCTGCTCAGCCAGAAGCTGGGCTCAGGGCTGGAGATCTCAGCAGCAGTGGCAGTCGGACATCCTCCGAGGGCTCCCAGACTGCGAGAGGGTGCAGGCCGGGCTGAAGAACCCTTCCCTCCCTCCCCCTAAGTGTATGAATGTCATGACCTGGGCCTCTAGTCTAATAATTTTCTGGTCAGACACCAGTATTTTTGTGGCTCTCATATTAAGAGAAGTAAGCCGAAAAAACGAGGGAAGACCACTTTGGGCCTTCTACTCTCTTGTTTGTTTTTTAAATCTTTATATTTGAGAAAATTACAGATGTCTCCCTTATTTGCCCCCATTGCCCCACTCCACCCAGTTCTCACCCCACCCTTGGCCTTCATCAGCCTACTATCTGTGTCCATAGGTAATGCATCTATGCATATAAGTTCTTTGGTTAATCTCTTCCTCAACCCCCTCCTGCCTTCCTTCTGAGATTCATCGTGTTTCCAACACTTATTTTCTGTTTTGTTTTTAGCCATCCTAACGGGTATAAAGTAATATCTCATTGTGGTTTTGACTTGCATTTCTCTATTAATTACCGATACTGAGTATCTATTCATATGTTTGTTGACCATTTGTATATCATCATCAAAAAAATGTTGTTATACAAACCCCCTGCTCATTTTATAACCAGGTTTGTTTTGTTATTGTTGAGTTGAAGGTGTTTGTAAATCTTGGATATTAACTCCTTACCAGATACATGATTTGCAAATATTTTCTCCCATTACATATGTTGCCTTTTCACTTCGTTGATCGTGCCCTTGATGCACAGAAGTTTTAAGTTTGATGTAGTCTCATTTGCCTATTTTTCCTTTTGCCTTTGCTTTGGTGTTGTGTTATATCTAAGAAATCACTGCAAAATCCAATGTTCTAGAGCTTTCCCCCTTGTTTTCTTCTAGAAATTTTATAGTTTTAGTTCTTATATGAAGGTCTTTAATTCATTTTAATTAAGTCTTGTATATGGTGTAAAGTAAAGGTCTAACTTCATTCTTTTGCACGTGAATATCCAGTTTTCCCAGCACAATTTGTTGAAGAGACTGACCTTTCATCAGTGAATGGTCCTGGAACTCATGTCAAAGATTATTTGATCATATAATGAGGGTTTATTTCTGGGCTCTCTGTTCTATTCCATTGGCCTATATGTCAGTCTTTATGCTGGTACCACATTGTTTTGATTACTGTAGTTTTGTAATATGTTTTGAAGTAGGACATGAGCAATCGCCAACTTTGTTCTTTTTCAAAATTGTTTTGACTGTCAGGTTCTTTGAGATTTCATATGAATTTTTTTAGAGATTGCAGTGAATTTATATATTGTTTTAGGCAGTATTAACATCTTAACAATATAAAGTCTTTCAATCCATGAACAACAGGATGTCTTTCCATTTATTTGTGTCTTTAATTTCTTATAGCAGTGTTATTGTTTTCAAGGTACAACTCTTTCAACTCCTTGGTTAAGTTTATTCCTAAGTATTCATTATCTTTGATGCTATTGTAAATGGAATTCTTTTCTCTATTTCCTTTTCAGATTGTTCATTTTTAGCATGTAGAAATTCAACTTACATTTGCATGTTGATTTTGTATTATTAAATTCGATTGGATTTATTAGTTCTAACAGGTTTTTTTTTGTGTATAGAATCTTTAGGGTTTTCTACATATAAGATCATGTCACCTGTACACAGAGATAATTTTACTGCTCCTTTCCAATGTGGATGCCTTTTCTTTTTCTGGCCTCATTGCTCTGGCTGGGCCTTTCAGTACTGTGTTGTATAGGAGTGGTGAGAGTAGGTATCATCAGGGACATTGGTCTGTAATTTTTATTGTAGTGGTGTTCTCTCTTCGTTTTTGGGGGAAGAGTCTGAGGAGGATTGGTGTTAATTTTCCTTTAAATGTTTGGTAGAATTCTCCAATGAAACTGTCTCAGCCTGGGCTTTGTTGGGAGTTTTAAATTACTGATTCAATCTTGAGTGTTTCCGTTATCCAATTTGTTGGTATACTATTATTTATAGCATTCTCTTATAAATGTATGGCCTTTATTATGTTGCGATATATATACTTTCTCCCCCAATTTGCTGAGAGTGCTTATCATAACTGGATATTGGATTTTGTCAAATGCTTTTTCTACATCTATTGATATGACCATATGGTTTTTATCCTTTATATTGTTTATGTGCTGTATCATGTTAATTGATTTGTGAAAATTATAGGTCAATATCCTTCATGAACATAGATGCAAAAATCCTCAGTAGACATATGAAAATACATTCAACATCACTAATCAGGGAAATTATAGTTTCATATCACTGTGATGAGAGAAGTTGTTTGATATGATTACAGTTTTCTTAAATTTATTGAGAATTGTTTGGTCTAAAATGTAGTCTATCCTAAAAAAATGTTCCATATGCACTTCAAAAGAATGTGTATTCTGCTGCTTGTGGGTAAAATCCTCTAAAAATATTAACTCAATCTGGTCTAAGGTATCCCTTAAGGTCACTATTTCCTTGTTGATTTTTTTTATCTGTCTGACTTATCCATTGATGTCAATAGGGTGTTAAAGTCCCCTACTATTACTGTCATATTCTCGATCTTTCCCTTTATGTCTATCAGCATAGGGTGGGGAAAATTGGTTTACAGCTATGAGTATGCAAAACAGTTTATTTTTGTATTATTTATTAATTATTGTATTATTTTCCATATGAACCAGTATAAACCTATTTTTGTCCCACCCTGTATTTGCTTTGTGAATTTAAGTGTTTCTACAATGGATGCATAGATGTTTACAAGAGTTATAGTCTCTTATTGGATTGATCCCTTTATAAGTATGAAATACCCTTCTTTGATTCTTGTTAGAGTCTTTTTCTTTTTCTTTTTTTTAAGTCTATTGTGTCTGATAAAGTATTGCTACCTCACCTCCTTCCTTCTTCCCATTTTCATTGCAATATCTTTCTCCATTCTTTACTTTTAGTCTGTGTGTCCTTCTACCTGAAGTAGCTCTCTTGTAGGCAGCATATGGGCCTTTTTATCCATTTAGCCACCGGTATGTCTTGATAGAAACATTTGAATCACTCATATTTAAATCAGTTATTTCCTGTTTGCTTTTTTGTAGTTCTTCTCTGTACCTTTCTTATTCTCCTGCTCTATTCACTTATAAGTTGGTGACTTTCTATAGTGGTGCTCAGATCCTTTTATTTTTTCTGTATTTCTTGTAGATTTTGGTTTTGTGGTTTTCATGTGCTTCATACATACCAATAGCAATCTATTTTCATTGATGATCACTTAAGTTTGAGCACATTCTAAAATCAGTACAATTTTTACTCCATATTTGTTTTGGTCATTATTTTTTACTTTGTGTGAATGTGTTTGTATGTATTCCTTAATTTATTTTTATAATTATTCATGATCTTGCTATTTTTGCCTTTTAACATTTGTAATAGCTTTATAGTTGTTTGACCCACTGCTTTTGTTTGCCTTTGTCAGTGAAATTTTTATTTTTTTTCTATATTTATATTTTAAAATATTTTCTTTGTAAAGAAGTCCCTTCAACATTTCTTGTAGTACTGGCTAAGTGGTAACAAATTCTTTGTTTTTTTCTTGTCTGGGAAACCTTTTCTGTCTCCTTCAATTCTAAAAGATAGCCTTGCTGGGTAGAGTAGGCCCTTGCTTTTCATCTCTGAATATTTGCCACTTGCTTCTGGTTTGCAAAGTTGCTGTTGAGAAATCAGCTGACAGTCTTATGGGAGCTCCCTGGTAGGAATCTGCCTTTCTTTTTGCCTTTAACCTTTGGCAGTTCAAATATACATATGATGTATCTTGGTGTAGGCTTCTTTGGTTTCATCTTGTTTGGGATGACTCTATGCACTTCTTGGACTTTATGCCTTTTTCCAGTCAAGATGTCAAAGTAGGTAAAACTCTGTGTAGGCCACCATCCTTCTCTGATGCAATCTGCCCAAGTTTTCACAGTCAGATGTTATGGGGACTCCTCTTCCTGGTATTGATGCCCCAGATTGGGGAGCCTGGTATGGGACTGGGGACCTTTGATTCTTTTCTGCAGTGGAGATATCTCTCGTGAATCTTTATTGAACCTTAATTGCCACACTATGGGTGGGGACCTGCCTGTTCCACTCCTGTGTCCCTCCTACTCAATATGGCTGCTGCTTTATATCCTTATTTATAGGAATACTGTTCAGTTAGTCTTCAGGTAGCTCTCAATGATGATTCTGTAATTTAGTTGTAATTCTCATGTGGTTGTGGGAGAAGGTGAACAAAGCTTTACCTACACCACTTTGACTGGAAGTCTTTTTTTTTATTTTTATTTTATTTTATTCTTAATCTAGTTAAGAATGTGTCAATTTTGTTAATCTG